AGTGGAAAGCTGATTTTTGTGCTCTCTAACATGCTGGTAGAGGGCATTGTGTAGCTGGAGATGCAGGATTTTAGTGGAAAGAGGTGAAATGGAGGTCATGGCCATTAGCAAGAAAGTCAATGCAATGTTTTACGAATTTTTGTCTGTGGGATGTAGCCAGACACAATCTGTTGTAATTACAGACCATCTGCCTAAAATTCTCTTGTAGTTTAAATTGGATAGCAATAATCTTAATTTCCTGTCCTAAGTTGTTGTACAGAGTTGCTGTATTTTGCCCCAAAGGTCTCTGCATTTTACTGGTGAGCAAAGCATTAATTGGCTCTAAATCATTTCCTATGAAAGGTGCTCTGTAAGTGTATGTTTTCATTCTTGTTCAGTGCTGGCAGCAAGTTTGTGCCTCGTACTTCACAAACCTATCAGAAATGAAAGCTGTGTTCCCAAGAGGTTGCAGTTGAGATAGGTAATGCATAGATGTGGAGCAGAGACGAGATGTGACCAAGAGCCAGTGATTAAGCAGTGAAAATCATTGCATATCTTGTTAGTTCTTCTAATAACAGGAATGCTCCTACATGGGTTTGTGTGCTGACAGAAGAAAAAGCATGAAGGAAGGTGTGGTGCAGAACAGCACAGTATGAGTGGCTTAATAAATGAATCTCAAGCAAGAGAAAGGATTAGAGAAGTAGAAGGCAGGGGAGAAGTGAATAGTACCCATGCTTTAGTGGGACAGTGGAATAAAATAAACAGCAAAATGGAGGGAGCAGAGAGGAGCAAAATGGGTAGACTTGTGCATGCCTTGAAGCATAACCAGGAAAGGGTGTGAAGAGAAGCAGGCATTGTTAGTACAGTTGATGAATTTTGCTGTAGTATTCCAGCTTGATTAAAAAGGGAGTCCAAGTAAACATTAGTGGAGTGAGGAAGGAGGAGACTGCAATAGCCAGGCAGAGAAAATATGGCTTGCAGTCTTTCACAGTTGAGGCAGAGTAGCATGGACTGATAGGGAAGATCTGCTAGATCTTACGGTAAAGGTCTTATCACAAGCTGTTTACATGATAGTGTAGTTGTCAGATATAGTGAGTTTCATTTGTTCAGCTAACTGCTTACAGAGTCTGAAGACAAGTTTTTTGCTCTGGGTATGCTTACTTCATTCATTAGTCATCTCTTATTTCGATTACTCTAATGGCTTCTGGCTAGACGTTGTCCTTCTTCTGCTCGTCACTTACAATCTATTCAAAAATCTGCCACATACATAATACCTTGTCATCTTTTCTGCTTTATTTTGCTGCCAGATCCCCTTAAAACTAACTTTAAATGTCACACTCAAGATGAAAGCAAAATCACACTTTGAATTCCTAGTTAAAAGAAATGGTTGTTTGTCCTATCTTATAGTTACTTCAAAAGTATTTTAAAAGCTCATCACTCTTGAGCTATGACAGTCACCTTGGAGTCTGCAGGATGTGCATGGCAGTGAATGATCACAGTAATTCACAAGAGTTCTGCTTGTGAATGTACTGTGTGGGGTCCTGCATTGCCAGCTGGCTACCACAAAAAAGGAGATTCAAGATTTCCTTCCAGAAGAAGGGAAGTGGTGCTTGTCCATGCATGGCAGCTGTTCCTGCCTGAAGAAGAGGGCAAGTTGTGAGTAGTATGTTGGTAAGAAGAAAATAGTTTATAGCGAGTGTGCAAAGGTGCTGTGAAGAAAACAATACAATGACAGCTTTGGGGTTGCTTGTGGTCTGAAGAGCTGATTGATGCCTTCTCTTTTTTAATGCTTTTATTTCTGAAAAGCATCTGGGAAGAGAGAGCACAGAGGTAGGGTTGCACTGTGTTAGTGCATGGATGGAAGCTGACTGCCTCAGGTTCAGAAGTGGTCCATGTGGGCCATCAGTGGTGGGTTATTATGAGAATAAAAATGGCTATTAGAAGAAAGAAAAGGATTTTCAATTTAAAAGGGAAGTGGATTGGATTAACAGGTGATGGCAATCACCTTGGGAAGAACTCCATTGCTATATTCTGTCTATGTTGTTTTCATCTCTAGCTGTCTTTAAATAGAAGTTACTCGCATCCTGAAGGGTGGTAGGAGAAGGGAGCTTCTCTCCTAACAGGAAGGAGACAAGAGCTTACTTGATTAGGGATTTGCAAATGGAGTGTGATTGCAAATCACTGGAGATAATGAGAGCGAAAAATTTACATGTTACTACCAAAATTAGTAACATTAGGAAATACAGTAAGTGAGAGAGAAAAATTCTGTGGTATTTTTGAAGCAGGACCCATGAGAACTTTTCTCATGGCTTACTGTGTGGCAATGGAAGAACTTGTACAAGCAGTGAGAACTCACAGCTCCAAAATGCCACTGAAAACAGGTCTCAGCAAATCACCATGGCCATGGCTGTGCAACTTGCCAGGCTCCAGCAATCAACACAACACTGGCCTTTTATATTATTTTAAAAAACAGTGACTTCTCAGAGCAGTTTTGAAGATTTGTAGAGTGATCCTGCAGTGATTGTGGAAATACAGTTTTTTTCTTACTGTCTTAATGTCTATTCTCAGTTACAAAACAGCTTGTTAGTATGTTGTCTCAGTATGTTCCTGAGAACTCATCTACATGTCAGAATGGTTACAGCTGGGAAATAACATTACAATTCTACTACTGGCTGCTAGTAGAAGGGCCAGGAAACATGGTTAAAATACTTCTATAGAATATTTTTCAAATATATTTTCAAATATGTTTTTCAAGAATATTTTTCAAAACATTTTAAACTCTTAGCTCCTATCTGTGGTGGAGACAAATACAAGCTGAGTTGATGTTTGTCACAATAGTTCTGCCTGATGCCCGTGTCCCATGTCACAGGCCTGTGTTCCTAAAGGGAGTAGCTTTTGCTGAAGGCTGTGTGGAGTCAGAAGCCTGATAAAAAACCTACTGGAAGGCCTGAGCTAGGATGGGGATATGTGTGAATGTTACATTGGTTGTTATCAAATTGGGCCACAGAGAATGACCAGAAAGGAAGGTACTTTGTCTCTTGGATTCATGCAGGACATACTGAGGCATGGGAGATATGAGAATGTTGTTGACAAGTCAGAGTGAGCTATCTATGTTAATTTTTGTGTATGCAAACAAGTAATAAACTTGGAGAAAGGCTAATTAGATGTGAAAATTGTTGTCAGTGTGATGTTTTCAGAGGTTAATTAAGAATACATTTTCTTTTTGTACTCCAGTGACTGTTGAGAAACTGAACATGTTGATCCATGTCTCATTTCAGTTGTTATTGTTACATATTTCTGCTGCTAAATTACTTCTCAATCTGCAGTTCTCCTCGCCTCTCCTCCAGCCTTCCCTTTTTTTGATTATTTTCTATCAAAAATCCTTGGCTTCAGTAACACACAACACTCAACCTTGTATGGCTGAGTTGTATTCTGGCCTTGTTTCAGCCAGAAAATATAGCACTTGCTGTTGTCTGCCTATGATGAGATTTGCTTTCACAGGATGAGAATTCCTTTAAGTTTATTGTTGTCCTGAAATGTCCTAACACCGCTGCCACACACAGCTTGTAGTGTTGCAAACTGTTGAGGTTTATCAAAACGGGTGTATGATGGTTGTTTTTACCAAGAGGCAAAGCTACAATTTTTTGGTTTTTTGGCTTTTTCAGATACCAGATTATTCTTGTTTCAATTAATTGACCCTGATATGCCTAAATTAACTTTTCAGGAGGTGTATATAGCTGGTTTACTCATCTTACTTTAAATTTAGATAATATGCTTTGTTTTAAAAAGTAATCATATAATCTTGTTTGTTTGTGTTTATTACTGTTTCTCATGCTGTAGCACATGCCTGATTCTTTCTAACTTGCCAAAAGAAAATTAATCTCAATCACTCTTACTGTGTAGTCTCTATGACCTACTAATTTGTCTATCAGTAGAAATTTCAGAATAATAAAAACACACATCTGGGATACTTTCCCAGGTAATGAATGCTATTTGCTCAGCTCACACCTTCCACAAAAATGTGTCTGAATTAGAGAGCTTTGTACTGTAACTGCTGGGTGAAATTTTGTGCTGTCTCGTCAACGGGTGATGTAATTCTGAAGGTACTTCTGTCTTGTGACACACCAGAAGGCTGCTGCTCTCCAGCTGCTCAGAGTTTGTACCTGGGAAGGGTTAGCTTGGTCCTGACACTTATTTCAGGTTTGTCTTAAGGTGGGTCTTGGACTTGTCTGTAGCCCAAGCTCAGGGGTAGAGAGGTACTGAAGGACATGGTGAAAAGCCATGCAAGGCTGTGTGTAATGGCTTCTCTGTGAGCACTGTGGAAAGAGGTGCCACACAACTCCAGGAGGCCAGCCCAGTGCTGAACATGGGGTATTTCCTTATGGATCTGGCAGTCAACCACTCCTGTACAGGCTCTGTGTGATGAAGTAGTACTGTTTCAACCTATAACTTAAGAAGGAGTATGGAGCAACCAAGAATGCAGACTACTGGTGTAACTATCCCTAAGTTCAGAGCAGGTGCAATGACCTCTAATCCTAACAAGAGAGGGCAGACATTACTTTGTCCATGCCCTGCAAGTCACCTCTGGATGACACCTGTGCTAACTTACTGTCACCTGACTCCATTCTTGGACAGGCACAGGGAAAGCAAACATGCTTAGCACCTGACATAAACTAGACTTAGACTTACATCATCCATCCACATACTGAAAAAACAGCAGACACAGGCTACGTTGGTGTGTCCTGGCCTCATGTGTCTGGAACAGAAATACAATTAAAAAAAGCCTTGCAGTACCCAGGCAACAGGCCACTGCCCAGATGATCCTCTTTCTTCTGAGAAGGGCAGGGTAGAAGCACTTATGTGCTGCTTCTCTGTTCTCCCTCAATAATTAAGCAGCTGGTTTTATCCTTTACTTGATTTTAATGTAAAGTGCATTCACAGCATTCTGCTGCCTGCAGTAGCAAGCAGCAATAGAATAAGCAGTGCATTACTAACATAAGCTATTTTATTTTTCTTTACAGGTAACTGTGCTGGTCCTTTTTGCCCTTGCATTCTTAACGTGTGTTGTATTTCTGGTAGTCTACAAGGTTTACAAGTATGATCATACCTGTCCAGAAGGATTTGTTTTCAAGGTAAATTGCATACCCGTTCTAGAAAAACAGTAGAGTATGTAATGTTCTGTGTTGTTTTAGGCATAACCTTGATCAAGGCATGCTGTATTGCATAGATTTGGTGTTTCTTTTCATAGTTTAGTGTGCTTCCTGCTATGCTTTTGCTTTGTAATTTATAATTTAAGTTATACTTTTGCACAATATTAATAGTGTTATTTTGCTAACGCTTTAAACATTGCTTAGATTTCACACTAAGCAAAAATATAGCAAAAATCTAAACACTGGTGTCTCTAACTTCATCTGCAGTTGTCTGGACAGAGCCCTTATTTATGGGTCATATGGTTTAATGTTGCATGTTCCTCCAAATTACTGACTTAGGAAATGAGAAAATGATAAAATGTGGAGGAAAAAATCTGGAATATGTGTCAAAGAAAAAGTAGAGTGATGTTCTCATTAAGAGTAGTAGAGTTACTTCAGGGTTATTTTTGTACTAAGAACTTCTTGTTCTAGAACAGTGACCTCCGAGCCCTACTGCCAAAAGTGGTGCCAAAAAAAGGGAAAACACATTTATTGTAAAAAATACTGGTTCTAACCAGAAGGAGGCTGGGCTCACTTTGTGAGATGGTGGTGCTGACTCCTTTGTTGTGACCTGAGCTGAAAGTCAGGAAAGTAACGTTGACTTCCCATGACTTCCCAGTTGTAAATTCAACAGTTGAACTTGACTGTAATTAGGTAAGGAAAGTAGCAGTGATAATGGCATTTTTCTCTTTAATTTTTTTAATTATATTTAGTCACATAATAAATCAATATGATACCCAGTGCAAACTTCAAAAGCATTGAAGAAGGGATGTCTGCCTCAGCACTCCTCAACAATCCTGTTCAGGATTTTATCTGTCACTTCAAGCACATAAATATCTTACAAGAATCTAGTTCAAAATTATAATCAGTAATGCCCTTCTGGATTAATTTAGGTTCATGCATTCAGTTGGTGACTTCTTCCCCTTTGTTCAAGGGCAAAAGATACTGTGGTTAGAATACTTGGCTGTAACTCAGGAGATCCAGCTTTTGGTTCTGCTGCTGGCTTTTTGTGTTGCCTCAGACAGGCACTGCAACCCCTCTGTGTTCATGTCTCAGGGGACAGCAGGCCTTTTTTTTTCCTCTAAGCTTTCTCTTGGCATTGAGCAGCTTGGAATATGGATTGTTATGTTCCTTTCAAGCCTGTCTTGATGTGATCCTGACTTGACAGGAACAGCCAGTTACCTGCACCTGTGGGAGTCTAGCAACAGCCTCCTGCTTCTGCCTCCACTCATACCAAGTTGCTCTCTCCTTTCAGCTGAGCTTTCTGGTTTCTTGTGGCTTTTCTTACCAGTATCACAAATATTTAAGGAGAGAACATTTTCTCCGCTATATTTCAGTTGCCCTGGGACGAGAGTTTGGTTGTTTCTCTCTTTTGGGTCCTGTGTTTGGGACAGAAGTTAGGCAGAATGTCCCATAGCTCATTAGAGTGCAGCACATGCACAGGGCTACATCATGGTTACTCTCCTGGTGGTTTTCTTGGAGCTGGTGTTTTGTTTCCAGCTGCTTGGTGGCATAATGCCAGGAGACAGAGCATTTTTGGTCACATACCTCTTTCAAGAAAGAGTTCTATAGCATAAGGATGTTGGCTAATGACACAAGGTCTGAAAACCACCACTGTGAAAATGACTTTTGTATTTATTTGCATCTGTTTTTCGGGAGAGTCCATGATATGTGATGGCACAGCTTGCACAGATGTCTAAGGAAACATCAAGTCTGTCTCCTTGTGACCAGTGTCTCTGTGGGCTGGCTTCATGTTTCAGGTGGACTCAACAACATTATCTGGCCTGGATGTTCCCAGGCTTTAGATGCTGACGTGATTTCCTGGTTAAGGGCAAACGTGTGCCTGCCTCAGGAAGCCTGATGCTGCAGGAATCTCTGCATAAAGGCTGAGCTAATCACAACTCTGAGTCAGATTCACTCTTCTCTGCTTTGATGCTCTCATACATGGAGGAGTTCCAAAGGTTTTTGCTGTACTACGCCTCCAGGGCATGAAGGTGTGCTTAAAAAGGTGTTCGTTTTCTTTTGTACAGCAGTCTTATTTCTGTGCTTGCTTAAGCTTTCTGAGACAGCCTTAGTACTGCTGTTCTGCAAATTGCTTCTCTGGAGCACTCATCAGAACCTACTGGTGAGACTCACCACAATAACCTGAGTGCACTTGCATCCTGAAGAATTTCCCCAGGGTTTCAGTATGTTCTGTACCATATGTTACCCTTTGGCTTTTGTTGCCAAAGCACCTGCATTCTGACAGACTTGTGGACAGTACAACAAAGTCATCTCAGTGCATTGAAGACCACACCATCATCTGTTAAACTGGGAATTATTGACCCAGTAAAATTAACATGACAAAAGATACCATTTATAAGTGAATTCCATTAGGGTCTTCATGTCAAAGGAACAAAAGGAATCATCTTAATTCAGCCAGATATAGACTGGCAACCAGGGTTTTCTGGGGCATCAAAAGCCATAACCTGTAATTAATTTCCAAAATAGAAGGGTTGTGAAAAAAAAAAAAAAAAAAAGACTGCCAAGTCACTGTGGAGCATCCCAGTTTCTCCTCATGGCCTTCCTTCTCTCACCTGGAAACCATGGAAACAAACAAAAAGGATGGAAATAAATGCTCTACATAGCTGAAAGTGGCAGGGTAAGAATCAGCAGCAGTTCCCATCACTCAGTCACTGAGTGCTGCATGGTTTGCCTTGACTGGGAACTAATCCGAGGGGTTGTCCTTAGGCAGTACAGAAGGGGCAATAAGTAAAAGGGGAGGTTGTTTTCCCATCTCTTCTAGAAGCATGAAATCCCAGGAGCAAAAATGCAGTCAAGAGGGAATCTGATGTCTGTTTCTTTAGGCTCTTTGGTCAGATGTTTTGCATGTTTGTGACTACAAGGCCCCCCTCACCCTCCCAATAATGAAACCAAAAAACAATCACTGAGTCATTTTTGCCTGCTACAAAGTAAATTGCTTCTGAAGGCAACATAGGATTCTGCAGCTTTTTTTTTCAGACTGTCAGTAATCTTGGCTTGTCTTCAGCTCTAATAATTATATTTTCTTGAATTTCCTTAGCAGATTTCATTAATTCAATGGATTGTGTTCCTTTCCCCACTTTAAATATTTAGAATTGTGATTACATCCCATGACTGAGTGAAATAATCACTACACATATGTCTGTGTCTAAGTGCTTAGTCATTTTATCACATCAGTAGTGTCAGTTATCCCAGATAAAACATGTATAATACTTCCAGAAGATGACATGGTTGATGTATATGAACATGCATATCAAATAGCTCTATTCCATATTCCTGGATTATGTTTTTATGAATCTAGGTCCCAGTCTTGCAGCTAGCAAACACATTGACTATGAGCATGGGAAAGCCTACGTTGCCTTACAGTGCTGAACTGACACAGGTGCTGTTTAGCCAGGGTTAACTCCCATCTGCTTTGTGGTGCTACTTCAACAAAGCTGGGAGGGAGAATTGCCCCAGCTGCTGCCTTGACAGAAGATGACAGATGAAGGGAACCAGGGTGGCCATGGAAGCTCTGGGCACCCCTGTGAGTCTGAGGCTCCTGGCACACACGGTCCCAGGGCCGAGGCGCTGACTGTGGGAGGCTGTCAGGCTTGTGGCAGCGAGGCATCCTTCAGCCTCCCACTGCCACCTGATTGAACTGTCAGGGGCACACAGGCTCTAAGACTACTTGTGGGCCTCTTGTTTGGGCAAGTATTCCTTTCTTCTTTCATAGCTTTTGATGATTTTTTTTCCTTTTTAGGAGGCAAAAGTTGTATTAAGCCAAGACTGCTGGATCTTCACCCATCTTTTGCTTTATGAGTTAAAACCATTAGTTGTGCTTATTTATGCCTTTTTTTTTTTTTTTTTTTTTTTTTTTTTTTTTTTTTTTTTTTTTTTTTTTTGACATGAACAAAAGTCAACTCAGAAGTAAATGTGGACACTTGTAAGGTAGAATCTGGTCCTAAAACCCATGATTTTTTGCATGTGTTTTTCTGCTGAGAAATTCCCAATATAAAATTTTGTTTGCTGAGTAGAAGAACAGTAGCAGTTCAAAGGTGCTGTGCTGTAGTATTATAAATTTTAGCCCTCTGGTGCTGGAAGCAAGAAGACCGAATACCCTTCTTTTCAAAACAGCCAGAGTATAAATGACTACATGAATTTTTCCTCAAGCTGTAGCTACTTCCAGCTTACAAGCGTCAATTCATTTGCTCAGGTGACTGCCCTAACATGTTGAAGTATCAGGCAAGACTGTCTGGACTAGCCAGTGTGGAAAGAGGACCTGCAGAGAGATCCCAAGACCTCCTGGGGCAAAGCCTGGAGGTCACAGTATATGCCTTAATAACTTTTTTCTTCAGTGCAACAAGCTGCTCTGTAGGAGCTTTCTGCACCGTGACTGGAAGAACTCCTGGATGATACCTGCCACAAACACACTGCACAGGCGCATTCACTTTGGCTTTTAAGATGACAGCAAAATGGATCTGACTTTTATTTTACTCTCTAAATTATCTATTTCACTTTCCAAAGCTCTGAGCATCTAGGAGGTTCTATTTACTACTCCTACAGTCCTGGGAAATGAAATAATGTAGTCTGACAGCTCCAGAGAGCTTTTTAAAAGCCTGCTGTTGGCTACATCTTTCTGACAATGAGGAGTGAAGTATTTTGTGTGTGTGTAAACACTTGCACATACGCTTGGCCACCCACAGAGTTTTTCCTATAATATGTGAGCTGCTGGGCTGTAAAACTGTTCATACATTGGCACCAATATATCTGTATTAATTTCTGTCCCTCAGACTGCAAACACCAGGGCAAATTGCCTGAAGTTAATCTAACAGTATGATACAGACAGCTGTAATTGTAAACCAAACAGTTGGAATTTGGTGGGCAGGAATAAACAGCAAAATGTGTCTGGAACAGGAGACTGAATACTTTGTCAAAATAATTTTAGGCAAGCACATTTCTTGTATGTTAATTATTCTGGCATATAAACCCAGATTGGTCTTCCTGGCAAATGCATGAGTAGTTTAAGGATTGCAGGGAAGAACATTCTGAACACAGTATTTCAATACTGTAGTTCATTGATGTATGTTGCATCTTTACTCACAGATAGTGACTCTTGGCTTAGACTAAAAGGAAAAGGAGAAAAAAACCCTAATCTGCTTTGTGTGTGTGTGTGGGGGGCTGTATCTGAAATCTAAGCAATGGATTTTCTTTTCAGAATAACCAGTGCATTCCAGCTGGGTTGGAAAACTACTACTCTGAACAAGACTCCAGCGCTCGAGGGAAATTTTACACAGTCATAAACCACTACAACCTGGCCAAACAAACCATCACGCGCTCCGTGTCCCCGTGGATGACAGTACTGTCAGAGGAGAAACTGTCTGAACAGGAGACTGAAGCTGCTGAGAAATCAGCTTAGGATGATAAGCTAATTATTAAAACTATGTCATTTGAAGGTAACTAAGGGACTTACTTCAAGGAACTTTTCATTAAATATAATTATGGATAATTTAGAGGTTACTCATGTTTATGGTGTAACTGCTTCTGTTTGCTGATACTGCTTTGCAAAAAAAAAAAGAAAAAAACTGAAAACAAAAACTTGCTGCAGAACATTCATGGGCATAACCCCAGGTGCATATCAGCATTGCTGTAGAGCTTTGACACCATTTTCAATGTTAAAAAAATCCAATGTTAGATATGTTCTTGCAGTTTATTGGATACTGATAGATTTTGTCACTGGATTTTCAGGGCTTGGATCTTAGATAAATCATGTGTTCTCTTGTCTGAACAGATAATTAATTAATTACATTTTTGAATTCTTTTTCATTTTGCAAACTGAAACACCCCAGCCATAACTAGAGTGATCTCATGTTTAGCTGAAAGCTGTAAGTAATGTTTAGTTTGGGCTCAAGCAAGAATGACAGTCAGCACTGATATCGGGGCATAATGTAATGACTTGTATGGAGAAAGAAACTGTCAGGTCGCATTTTTCCTTACATTTCCTTTACTGTTTTTGTAAGTGATAATGAAGTTCTCTGCAACAAGGCATGCTCAATGTTTTCTTATTGCTGTCAGCAGGATTTAACTGCATTTCCACTGTGGCTTCAGCATCTTGGTAAGGATGTGCACTGAAACACAAACTAGATAGACTTATGGAAAAAACACAGGCAGTTTTAGTGGTGGGTGTTGAGGATAGTGTAAAAAATATACAGTTCAGGATGTTCTAATGAGAAATGACATCTTTTGATCACACTAAAGAGGCAGAAAGCCTGTTCACAGTACATGTAGTCCACTATGTCATTTGTTGGATACAGCTGAAGGAGTAATATGTCTAAATTTTCTCCTGTATTACATTCACATTTTCCCTTTTTATTAGTTAGAAGGAACTTTCTATTTATGTATGGTTTGCAGTTTGATACTTTTTAAAACATGGAGCATCACAAGTGAAACAGTAGCTTGTTAGATACCACAACTGGCTGTTAAAGCTCCATGTGAAACAGAGTGAAGAGTTAGAACTGTTTGTATATGGCTTGGGAGGGGAAAAGATGTAGAAGAACATAGTATTGTGGATGCACGTTTAAGTTCCATTGTAATTACAAACTTACCTATTCTTTGTGTGAAATCATGTTTTCATTTTTATTATAAATCTTAAATATACATTATAAAAAGACATCTTATTAATTTAACATACAAAAGTGTGTGAAGCATCTGGGCCAGCAAATTGCCTTTTTATTCATGTAATTTAAATGGGACAAGGTAGAGTGGGCATGTCAAAAGTTCCTTTTTTTTTTTTTTTTTTTGGTTAGAGGCTATACAAAAATTAAGGGCAAACATCAGTGTAGGCTGTTTTTCAAGATCTGTAGCAGAAAAAGTGTGGTCAGCTCTACTTCTGGTTTTCTCCAGCAGAAGCCTGTCATCCCAATACAGTAAAAATAACCATTATGACTCAGCGCTCTAAATTTGACAGGAAATGTGCATTACAGAGTGCAGCTGTAAAAGGCTTTTTATTAAGTCATCGTGGTATGTGGAATGCCTAAGAAGCAATAAACTATGTGCCAATTTTTGCATTGCAATTGAAAATACCAAGCTTATGTTAAGATCTTTAAAACATATCCATGTTTTCATTTGCTAACAGGCATCTGCTTTACTGAATATAATTGATTCACATGTAACTTTTGACATTTTCACTCTGTGTATAGTAAAGAATAAAAATGATGTTACCTGTTGCATAAAATGTATAGAAATATACATTTCAGAAAAGAGATAGGAAAACACACACCTTTCATATCAACATACTTATGGAGGACATTCAGATTTTACAGGATGGAAAGCTCTGTTTCCTAAGACTGTTCTAAATAGAAATGATTCATGATACATCTCCTCCCCTTAAATTTAGGACAATAAAAACTTTAATGCGAAAGTAAATACTGATGAGAAAGAACTTCTTTTTCTCCTCGTAACAATAAACAATAAAAATTAGTAAGCCTTATGATTTTGGAGAAACAGATTGTTTATGCTTCTTGAAATCAAAACAATTTTCTGTCTGATTTATCAGGAGGGAGTTTATAGATCTTATCTACACTTAGAGACTTTTTTTAGTTAACAAATGCTCGCAGGTTTAGTACTTTGAGGAGTACTTTGAGGACTTTAATTGTCTATCCTTTGGCTTTATTCCAGCATCCCAGAACATCTGTTTCATTGCACAACCTGTTTTGTTGTATTCTCTTTTCACTTAACAAGTAAAAGCTCTTTTGTTGACTCCTTATCATTACTAGTACCATTAGATCAAGCTGATTTCTGAGACAAGTAGTTTCAAAGGATTAGAAGTAAAGGTCATTATGTGCAAAGTGATCACTGTGTACTGAAGTGGTGTGATGAAATAAACGCCTGAGACAGCGTAGATGCTTCTGCACAGTAACAGTTTTCTCTTGCTCTGGGATGGGAGCTGGACTTTCCACAGCACAGGTGGGTGGCTGTGACAAAACCAGTATTGTTGCTTTTTCTTCTGTGAAGTCTGCTCCAGCTTGTAGCTTTCTTTACAGCTCTTTCAATGACTTTTATGTTCTCCAGAGGATAAGGGTGGTTTTATGTTTGATACAGGGATTTAGAATGAATGTACTAATGGATATGTGCACAACTTATTTATTGGAAAATATTTCCATCGTAGAGGTATAAGAAAATGCATAAAATACGTAGGTATGCTGTTATACCCCACTCCTCTAAAAACGAAAAAGTCAGAGCATGGTGCCAATATATGTTTAATTATCATACCAGTCCAGGAAAAGCAAGGAGAATGAACACATCACAAGGAAGAAGAGGATCCAAACTCTAAATCCAGCATTGTTTTTGATGGCCTGTGAGGGAAAGTTTATCCCTATTACCATTACCAGTAAATACAATTTCAACAGTGGCAACTCAGAATGCCTGTTTGTGGCATCACCCTTCTCTCCCACAAGAGAAACAACAGAATTTGATCTTAATCTCAGGTGAATACAAATCAGGTTGGCTGGCACCTCTTTTGCTTTATCACAGTGAAGTCACACTCAAAATTTTAAAATTGCACAAATCAAACACCAGGAGCTATATCACAAAGTACATGCTTCAAAGTTAGTTTTAAGTTTCAAAAGTGAAATTCCTTGATTAAAAGTAATCAGGCCTTCATACAAATGAAAAAAAACCCAACAAAACCAAACAATAAAGAAACAAAAACAAAATCCCTGACACCTCTGGAGATACCTCAGTCACTTATTTCCATCTCATTTTTCTTGGCTACTCCTTTCCAAAACTGAGACCAGCAGGGGACTTGGTTTTTGCTCTCATTTCTTAGATTTACATAAGGAATTTTTTTTATATATGATACAAACACTAGTGTGAGTAAAAAAGTTTTTTATTTTACCACCTTTCACTACTGTTTCTCAGGATGGCTTAGGAAACTTAGTTCTACCTAAAAATGTGAAAAGTGAAGTAAAATATAGCATCAGTTGTTGCCATGTTTGGTGTACTGTTCAGGAGAGCAGAGCAGTAGATAACTCACCCTTGAGATACCTTTTCTGTGTGCTCTCAGGAAGGAGAAAGAAGTGAGCCATTTACACAGTAGCCTAATTTAGGAGCTCCATTTTTACTGAAATCTCAGTTCCCAAAATAAAATATCCTTTCCTGCTACTTAGTAAGAGTGAAAGAGGTTTGTTTAGTAGGAGCATGCAAGAGGTGTTCAGAGTCTCTTCTGCTAACACTCAGCATTCTGTTTCAACCATTTCAGCACTGTCTTATAGTGGTAGTCTGCAATTTCTGCCCCCCTCCCCTTCTTTTTTTTTAAAAAAACTTCACAGGTGCTTAAATGCAAGCCAGGTGACCTTCATGTTTAAAAAAACTGCTGAGGCCAAGTAGATTTCTGCAGTCCTGTGTAGCTATTCAGATCATGCTTAGCAAGTGTGAACTATTGAGAAGCTCAGCTACCTGGAAGAGTTTTCCCAAACCCCTGTCCTGACACCCAGCACACACTGCACCAGACCCATGGGTGAGCTTGCACGTGCTGTTTTAAAACAACACCTGGAAAAACCAGAAAGTTAAGAGAAATGAGTCTAAAACACAGCTTCAAGATATTACCTCTCTTATGTCTTCATTGCCTTCTTTTATATTCTCTGTTGCACCCACAACTAATTGATGGATATTGTCAATATCAGTTTCCTGTTTAAAAAAGAAATAAAATTGAGAAATAGTAATGAATGCTACAAAAAAAAAATAAAAACCAAGAACATTTCCAAGGACTTGGGGAACAAGCAGAACTCAAAAGTAAAATAAAACATGATATTACTAACATCTTTGTTTCATTGATGCAAAGGCAGAGAGTAATACATTAAAGCTGTAATTTATTTATCAGTGATTTTATGAACCTGAATGGAAGCCACCAAGACCGACAGGAAGTCTCCCATTTGTCTAGTCAAAGGTAATCTGTCTGATTTTTCCCAGCTCTTTTGAAAGAGGTGCCAACATTTCCAAAATGGATGCTCTTACATAACATGTTTAACAGGACACCAGTTCTGAGGCAGAGGAATCTTTCTAACACATACCTCTCATTTTCCTTTCCTGGTCCATACTAGTAAGTAACAACAGTAAATACCTTGATTTTGAAAAACAAAAGTATTTTCCTTCACATTTGTATTGAAGATTTGCTAATTTTTTTGTTCACAAGTTGGCAATCAGGACCAAAATGCCCTCAAGAAAATTTTCAAGTTGTATTTGCTGCTGCAGTATTAAATTATACTAACCTGTTGCAAGACTTTCTCGGTGAATATCTCTTGTAATCTGGAGATTTCCACCACTTTTCCTTCAATTTGTCTTGGCAAAGAACAGAAATACTCCATTAGAAACTAGTTCAAACATGTCTTGCTGCTGCAGATTCAGACTCTCCAGCCCAGTAAGTGGCTGCTCAGGAGGGCACTGTTTGTCAGTTGTCTGTGAGGCAGCAATAGCCTGGGACTAGGGCTTGGACAGTGCCTGGTTGGAAGACAAGCAGTCCACAGTGTAGCCCTAGGAAAGGCACCCCCAGAAATGCTCAGTGAGCAGCTTTCACTGCCAGGGGTTTTCACCTGTCTCCCTTCTTTCATTTCATATAGTAACATCCATGCTGGGCTTTAAGCAGTTGATTTTGACACACCCTTTTAATATGCTACTTCATATGGTATGTGCAGTTCACCTTGCCTAGGACTGCTGCCCAGAAGTCCATTTCTAGCTCTAGTAGCCCTTTGGGTGTTCTGCACAGCTGGGGAGAGTGAATGGCACCAGTGCTGTCTCTGCATGGGGTCAGCAGTGGTACCTCCCCTACTGCCATCTGGATATCCAGCAGACAACAGGACAGAAATGGAAAATCCAGTACTTTAAGATGGGGATAAGGGATAATGTAAGCCTTGCAAATGCAACCAGTGCTACCATTCTTTACAGTGTGAGATGGCACACGGTTCCTTTCCTGGGCCCTGGGGATTTGTCCCAGCTCCTCCCACACCACTGCAGCAGGAGCAGGCAGGTGTCCTGCAGCCAATGCCCTGCACTTGGGGGCTGACTGGGGCATGGGACCAGCACAGGCCACTGTCTGTCAAATGACAGAAAACTGTACCTGACTTCATCGAAGAGATTGTTCATTTCACCAACAAGTCTCTGGTTCTCCTGTTCAAACTGGAAAAAGGGGAGAAGGAAATGACACACAAAATTTACAGAAGTAAGTCTGAAATGACAGGTATGTGTTTGAAGAAGGGTAACAGTATATCTCACAGAGAAAGGGTAGTGTTTTGACAATTTCTATCATAAAGAATGAAGAAAAACCTTTTCTTTCTTTTTGCATTAAGAGGCTCACTGCCTACCTCATTGGTAAGAACAGCCTTCTCTCCTGGGTTAAAGGATTCCACAGTCTAAGAGGAAAGTTACTGGGCACTGCTGCCTTCACTGTGGGGTAGAGGTCTCAGGGAAGGTGCACAGCTCCATGAATTGAAAGGGAACGGAGAGCAACATACTGCACAGTTCCATTGATTTCCACTCTAAAGATCCAATGGTTTTGTCAAATAAATACCAGTGTTGCAATACATTCAAGTGTCACTGTATGTAGTGACACCACCTACAGAGCAGAGCATTTTTTAAAATATAATTGCCTAAAATATATTTATTTTCTAGTACTTCACAGCAGCAGATGACTAAAGGTGCTTCATCACTGCACTGCTTTACATTCATGACCGTTGCATGTCTGGTTCTGGTGGAGTCACCTCACAACAAAGCCAAGGCACAGAGCAATGCAATAGAGCCACAAGATTTAGTGCTGTGATTGCCAGTTGGTCCTTGTGTGAATAAGTGGGGCCACCATGCTGCAATTTTTTTTCTGACTTCTGTAAATGTGTCTGTACAAATATTCAACATTAGAAATCCCCTATTTTACTGCCTTAAAAAAACAGATGATAACTAATTGAGAAGACAAATTTTCAGTAAAGAAACAGTGAATGACTTTAATCCTTTACAAATAGCACAAATCCACTTGAGAAAGCAGTCTTTAAAAACTCCCTTCGATATTTAAAACCTTCCACTGGCACAGATTGCCTTTTAAACTGCTAAATGATCTTTGCAACTTGAAATCATGGCTGATGGAGTGCTTGCACAGACAGCAGTTAAGATATGCTAAAACAGGCAATTGAACAAAGGGTTTGAGCACTGAACACATCCTACACCACTGTGTCACAAAGGGATTTACATGATGAGAACATAAACCAAGCTCCAACAATCAGTATAGCTCAGTGATTTATGGCTTATTGAAGTAGCCTCTTTTATGACAGTGAAATATTCTGTTACCAAAGGGACAAACTGCTTAATAATGACTAAAAATCCAAGGCATGAAAGAAATAATCACCACTCCTTTTAGTTATTCCATGAGAGAAGTCATTAGATGTGCTGTCCCTGAATTTAAGACAAAACCAACCGACCAAAAAAAAGCTGAAGTCATAGAAAAGTAGATATTTGCACGACTCCAAACAGGAGAGAGATTTTTCCCACTCAATGCAATCACAAGACATTTGCTCACAATAACTGTAAAAAACATTAATATACCTGTATTCAGAGTTATAAAGTAAAATCTGTTGTGTAAATCATGCAGTAGGCCTACAAACATTTTGAATAATGTCCATCTCTTCCCTGAGGGTAAAATTCTGATAGGAATTGGTGTTTTAGCAATGACAGAGCTTTAATTCATTATTTTATCTACATGAAGGCTCATGGAACCATGACTGGGGATTTGCTAAGTATGATATGACACAAACCATCCCAGTTTAAAGCAAACACAGCAGTTTATAGATCTATCCTCTTCATAAAATTGTTTAGGATATAAAAGATCTTACAAATCAAGATAACAACCCAAGGCCACCATTAAACCATGTCCCTAAGTGCCACATCTACATGTCTTTTAAACACTACCAGGGATGGTGACTCCACCACTTCCCTGGGCAGTCTGGTCCAAAGCTGGAAAACCCTTTCAGAGAGGAGACTTCTTTTCCAATGATCCCAAGCCTACAAAACACAACCTGCATTTAGTTTTCAGTCAGAAGGTCCTGTCAGAGCCATCATCCCCAACTCTTATTTCCCTTGTTTCACTGGAAGCTGGCAGCAAGGGGCCTAACAGTATTAAGTCTAAAGAAAAGGGAATCAAAATATATAAAGAATTATCTTTTAAAAGAAAACAGAAAGCAGGAGTAAGCCTCTAGATTTTAGACTGGCACTCAAGAACAATATGAGAGCACACAGGGCAGCCTCTAAAGAACATTTTCTCTCTAACAAGCCATACCATAATTACGTGCAACTTACTCATCTCTGACTGGAAGAATGATGTGTGCTGTGTCTGGGAACACCTCGAATCACTGCCAAGGAAGCTTCACAAAGTCATACTGCTGCAGCCCTCTGCCCTATAAAGCTCACTGTTCTGATACCTGCACAGATACTGACTGAAAGCAGTTTTTCTTTCTTTAGATAAACCCAAGGAGGTGTGTGCTAATGTAGAGAGGTTTTCTATGAATTTTGAGCAATGTACAAAATGATTAATTTTAGGAATGTCAAAAAATCTGACAGACTGTCAGCAATCATGCCTATGTCAGAAATTTCCTATTCTAATGTAAGCTGAATTGGATCCATCTATAAACATGCTGATAGCAGAGAAATGCAAAAATGTTAAAATTAATGAAATTCTTTGGTGGCAGACATCTTGTAGCTATTCCTTCTAGAAAACAAATCTGATTTTGATAACAAAACCATAAAAAGAAATAAAATGAAATATACCTTCACAATAATAGTTAAGCAGTACAACTATTTGTATTCTAGAAACTATCAAAGAATAAAGGGCAAACAATTTATTCTTTCAGAAGTTTCATAATGATTCTTCTGATATTGCCTTGACTTCTACTGTTTACTGACTAAACAAAGCAGTTGGTAATTGTAATGGTAGAAAACAATTTTAATTTCAATTGTTGAAAGATGTTTTTTATTAATTTCATGTCTCCATGTAAATATTTTGTAGCATTTTAAAATTTTAGCTGCTACCAGAAGAACCAGGAAGTCACAAGCAAGCATAAAGTATTAAAAGTTAATTTAGGTGAATCTGTACTTCTTTTTTTATCACATGTGAATACAACAGAAAATACAATTAAATGGACAATTAGACACAGGATAAACATACCATTTGTATTTCTTCAGGTGACAGCTCATCTTCACCTCTGCTGTCCCCCCATAATCCAAGGTTACTTTGGGCATCGGGCAAATTCCTGTCTGTAGAAGAACCACCAAACACTTGAGACACTGAATAATACAAGGCACTGAATAAAAAGTCAAAATCATTTTTCATCCATGTTAGACTGGTCATGAAATTGCTGTATCTCCATTGTCAGTTACTGAGATTCAGCCTGTGTTTACAGCACAAAATTGCATCAATAACCTTTGATTTCTGAACAGGGCCAAAAGTCTTCATGTAGGTTTCATTTTGTGAACTAAAGGGATTTGCATTAACACACTGAGAAGGATGTACAACAACTCATAATGCACTAAGAACTTTTAGGGCACAAAATACTGTAGCAGTTGTCTTTTAACAGATAAAACCACACAATATTCAAATTGAAAGCCTATATGCAAAGTATTATCTTCCAGTAAGACGTGACAGAACCACCAGCTCCTCTTTCAGGAACCAAAGACAGAATCTCAAGGATGTTTTGAGCAAAACTCACAGATGAACTCGATTTTTGTCATGCTGATTAAACCTCCTATTACAGTGCAAATCCCACACCACACTGTGGAAGGGGTCTTCCAGCATATAACAGGAATCAGCTCCAACCCCACAAATTAACCATAGCACATCAAAGCTGCTTCATTCATTTCAGTAGTATTTTCCCTTTGATTAAAGCTATTCATCTGCATAAATCTTTGTATGAGTTGGGCATAAAAGATCTTGAAGGGCTATTTCTGGAATGTTCCCTTCTGGAAGATTTAATTTTAGGTTTAATTATATACTTCTGGTTATAAAGGAAGAAGTTAGAAGAGAGAAAAGAAACTGTACTGCAGGAATCTACTGTTTCTGAAGCTGTTCTAGCAAAACTTGGTAAGACTGCAGCCTTGAGAGGGCCTCTCTTCTCCCACTGGCTGTAACAATCTTAAAAAACCCAAGAGAGATCTGTACCACCCCACAATGGATCAACCCTCAACCTGCTTTGAGGCATCAGATGCAGGCTGCAAATTAAAACACAGAAATATTTAGTTTCTTGGTTTTCATACATTTTAGACTTCCTATTTATTCCAGTCAATCTTTTAAGCATATATGTATATTCTAATTTGTTTTGCTATAACTTCCTAGACATAATTTTTTTCAATTTTTTAAGCAGCACTAATGCATCATCTTTCAGGGACTAACTTGTCTTGGGAAGCCTCTGAAAGGAGCAGTCTTATTTATAAACACATATATGAAAAGAGATACAAGGAGAAAATTTCCCTTTTTATTCTCCATGATAGTATTTGTACAAACTCTTGAAAACATCAATATTGTAAAAGAGTATTGTGTATGTCTCCTTTATAAACTTTTTTTTTTTGGCCTCCCAGCAACCTAACCAGGATACATAAACAATGACATTGCTACAAATGGGGGATACAGATAAGGAATATAATAAATTTATTAAAAAAACAACACCAAGCCAAAAAATACATCAGTTCCTTCTTATCGTAGTATAATATAAACCCAAAAATCTCTTTAAAGATTGTTTAGAAAGCATCCAACTATTTTTATCCATGGGGTATTATCAGTATTTCAAATCTGTTTCACAGAATCACAAAACTTACTTGTTTAGGTAATCAATGTATTTACATTATATCAAAATTACAATAAATTGTTTACTGTATTCAAACAAAAGAGGATAATTAGTTTCTGAAGAAAAAAAAAAATATAAAACCCAGAGGAACCAATTAGTTTCAGGCCCTGCCAGCATTGTTAAAAAACAGCACCTGTATCCAATGTGATGGCTAATAAGCAAATATATTTATGGTAAGAGGTAAGCAAGAAACATGTATCTCCCCAGGGTTCGTCCTGTCACTGTGGTATGTTTTGGGCTTTCTGCAGCTTTCATGGAGCTGACATTAATGCTTTCCTGCAATTCAGCCAGCAAAAACCAAACTACATTTTTACTTCAGAAAGAGAAGTAGTTAACTCGTGACAGAGATATAAAATAATGATCAAATCCTCTGAACCTTTTTCCATGCTGAAAGGAGACAGCTGCTAAGCTTGTGGACCAGTTCAAAAGCTACTCATTATTTACATTTATTTCCATGAACTAAATGTCAAATTTGTAATATGCAAATAAATACTGCCAGTATATAAAAGCATTCTCCAGAGAGACTGTTTTCCTACCAAGAGGCATGTCTACTATAATTCTAATGTAAACAGGTGCTTTGCCTCAAAACAAAGGTAATCACATTTTGCTTTGGTTTCTGCCAAAAAACCAGACAAAACCCAAGCTGTGCTTCAGCACATTAAGTAGCACATTCAGCTGTCCATCATAGTGTTCAAATTAAGGACAGAACCACAAGCTGCTCTCAAAAGTATCTCTACAGATGAGATTTAACACAAGAGACCCAGGCATGCTGCTGATGGGTAATTCATGAAAACAAATTATCACCATTCTCTAAACCACCAACATCCTGAAGATGAAAGAGCTGATTTGAAAATGCAAGCATTTCTCTGACTTCCTAAAAATTTGAAAAGTTACTTGAAAAAAAAAGTATAAATCAAAAGCTGTAAGATTGAAACTGAGCTTCTTGTTTCCCAGTCATCTTGTTCATGTTATTTTCACAATTATACTACCACCTACCAGCAAAGTCACAAGGCTGATTCCTATAAGCAGCAGCAACCAGCACTTACCCTTATGTGAGAATCACAGGCTGTGTACATTTGCATACTGTTCCAGACAGATTTATTTTGATATACAAGTTCCATAGTTTTCTCAAAGTCTGGTCAGCAACCCCTTGTAACTACTGCAGCAGCACCACTTGTGTGGCAGGACCCCTACTTTCTCATAAAGGTTAAAGCAAAAACTAATGAAAGGGAGAACTGGAGTAATCAAAATTACTGCATAATAAAATAGCTGCATTTCTATTTACTGCACTGGTTTGCTGTGTCCAAGGCAACCAAGGAACAGTATTTTCCATGGTATGGCACAGATTTTTGGAGCTAAAAATTTTAATAACATGATGTAGTGGGAGTGCACACTTCCAGAAATTGCAGGGGCATTCGGTAACAAGGAAAGAGCACAAGGCAATGAGGATGCTACTATGCTGCTGCTTCTCCAGTGCCACAGCTCACAGCTGCAAAACACTGATAACAGGTTAAGGTGAAACTCATCTGTGTGCCTGTGTGCTGCATCACTTATGACACACTATAAAAAGGTAAGCAGTGCACATAATCAAAACCTGTGCTTCTTATGATAAATTCAGTGTGGGGGGAGGAAAAAGGCACACTGATAGGGCTGCAGAAGTACAAACTGGTTAGGAAGATAAGCAAAGCCATTATCAGAAAATGAAGTTGTTCACACATTGTGAGCTAATTCAGTGTTAGATACTTCATCCAGAAGTGGAGCACCCACTTCACATGAATCCACCCTCTGTATGGCCCTGGAATCAACTAACAGAGGAACTTCACTCTTAATAAAAATCACTAAAGAAACAACAACTGCTTATCAGAATAATATGGCCAACAATTGCATTTGCTCTATCCTGACCAAGTACTATCACAATGTAATGTAATTAGAAGGAAAAAAATTCCTGATAAAAATCACAGGGTACCTTGGTCTTCTTTAGATAACACAAGTGGGAGACCTCAAGCCAGGGAAAGCAATTTCAGAATCACAGAAACAGTATTTCTCTTTAGGTATGAAACCTGAAATCACCTGCATAGTGGTAGTACTCCAAAAGGCACTTAGCTCCAAAGCTCTGCCAGCATCCACATCCCAGGACAGGCAGAAATGGCTAGAGAATTGAAATGGCTTCTACCCCTCAGCCTAAGAAGCAGCAACCAGGAATGAAAACCAATGCTCACAAACCCCATCAAGATCTGCACCATTTGAAATGACCCCAGGGTCAGAGACACTGCTTTGGACTTCTGGGTATGTCCTGCCCCCTGAAAGACGAGATGAAATTCTCCCAGCAGGGTAACTCAATGCTGTCAAGAAGAAAGCTCCAAAACTACTGGATCTGACCAGCCAATAACCTCCTCTGTGTGAGCATTTTCCACCTTTGAATTCCTACTGTAGGAGTGTCCAACTCAAGGTCTCTGTGCTTAAAAACTACAGAATGTTCCAAGAAAGTCGTTGACCTACTTTCTAATTCCTTGCATTCAATGAAAGGAATATGGAAAAATCAGACAAATTTCAGAAGATATGATATTGATAAAAATAAATTAAGAAAAAAAGAGTTCACAAAGAGGTTATTAAGTGGATGAAGAATTCAGCAAAGCATATGACTTCTTTAGCTGGCAAGTCAGAAAGTTTAAGATTTTCTTTCTCAGTCTCACAGTATGCTTCACAGAAGCCCGATCAGCTCAAGCAAGATGAAAATGGAAAACATGCCAGTCACAGCAATTGGCCCTTCTAAAGTGAAGGATATACTACCAACCAGAGAACCACTTAGGTACTTGCTACAAAAAGTAAAATGTAACTACATTTTATTCCTACCTTTGCTTTCCTCAGCAGAAAGTTTTTCTTCGGAATCCTCTAAAGGACTCTGTGAAGATTTTTCAGCGGAAAGAGATGATTTGGACACATTGCTCTGCTCAGGTTCAAGTTTGGACCTAGAAGTACAAGAGGCTATGATTTAACTGGTACTACACAGATGTATTTCTCTAAAATGAGAGAAAACACACATTACTAAATTCAATACTTTAACTCTTGTCAACTTCACATTTAAGATTTTCCAATCAAGATACAAAATGTACTTAGCAACTTGTTACTGAAATAGTGCTACAAAGGCAAAGAAAGCATGAATAATATTCCTGAACAAAATGCACCACATGCTCAGAGTTGAGAATATTGAAGGCTACAGCATAAAAATAATGACACTTTATTAAACTGCCTTTCAAAAATACAGTAATTTTTTTTTAAAAGCCAATATTTAGGTCATATAAAAATTTTTAGTAGCAATAGCCAAGTACTACTTCTTTATTTTTTTCAAATACTAATGATAATTTTACTTTATATTTTCAATTATCATAAAGGCTATACAAAAGAATTAGCTTTCTTATACTACTTCTAAGTCCCTATTAGGTAATTTTAATCTAAAGGCAATGCAAAACAGGAGAAGCTTATTCAGTGATTATATATTAAGTACTTCTCAAGTATGTTGCAGTGCGGCATCAAAAAATGTTGAAAATTAGGGGTAAAGTATTTTTTCCAGTAAATATCCATGGTTTATTGCTATCTACAATTAATTCTGTAACTGCTACATAGCAAGCAGTTAAATGTTTAGTAATGCTGTTGGAGAAGGTAAAGAACCAAAAACCAATGGGTGGAATCACCTGCTGTGCTAGGTGATTCCACCCTACCCTTTATAACTTCCTACCCTCTCAAATATAATCAACAGTTAATCTCATTATGATTTGCAATTCTCCCCTGTGCCTAACAGAAGGTGTTGCTGTTTTGTGTTCCTTCTTTGCATTGTGTCTAAATTCTAACTCATAATTAGAAAATTCTGTGAAAACAAGAATATAATGCAATTGTCATCACTGAACTATTGCTATTTAACAGTAGCAGGGAACCTTTTCTAGTGATAAAACCTCCACAAGTACTGGGCTTTTGGTAATTTTACAGAGAAGAATTCTCTCATCTCCTCCCTCTCAAATCTGTATAATAATAAGAAAAAAAATACTTATCTACATATCTGTGCAGTTCAAGTAATAGTTTTAATATTAATAAAATACCAGTTTCCCAGGTAACAAAAATATCAGCTTGATTTGAATAACTGCATAAATAATTCACCAAATCTTCTAATGGAAAAAGAAGTTTAAAATTGAAATTAAATATAATCTTGAATACCAATAAACATTAAAATTGAAAATCACAACCAAGTACCTTTACGAAAAAAATGCTTGTGTTTCTATTTCTCATATTTTCTTTCTGCAAAACTAGTCCCAACCAGCAGAACTTTTAAATCAAAAAATGTGAGTGAATACATAAAGGCAACCTCTGTAAGAAAATTGTAACATCCACACAATTTGTTGAAGAGCTTAGGATAGTTGTCAATATAGATGGAAACATGATGAAATAAATTTCTATGGCAAACTTTTCAGTATTGTCTGATATGCACATACTTTAATGAATTGACTAAACTGCAGGAAAGAAGAGCTGCACTAGGATAAATATATTTCTAAAGAAACATATTCCTTTATTGTTTGTTGTCCTTATTGTGCACAGTATAGGAATACAGGAAACTTTCAATTTAAAAGGAACAAAGTGTCTGGGATGTACTGTTTAAAGGATACCTCATTCTTTTAAGAGAGGGTACATGTTCTTATCACATAAAGCACCTGCTGAAATCCTCAGGGAAGTTACAAATCAATGACACTATTTTTCTTTAAGTCATAATAAAGATTGGGTTATGCCCTGTGATTTACTTGAATTAAATTTTAATTTAAATGACAATTCAGCCATTACATCACATCTGCAATGCATACAGACTCCACCTGGTCAACATCTGTTTTCTAGTTCTTGCATCCATGAAGAGAGGCATAGAGAAACCCTCCAATAAAAAGTGTGTATCTTTTGGGTTGATTCTTAATGCCTTATTGCTCTTTAGCTAAGTGGCACTCTAACTTTTGAAATAATGCATCAAATTGAGGATTTTTCTCTGTTTATTCATCTGAGAAATCCTGAACCTGGGATTACACATGGAAAGAGTAATGTAAGAGTACTAACCAACATAAGAGTTGGTATTCATGAGCTACTGTTTTGACTGCAGGAACAATGCTCTCTTTCTTTGAAGCTCTTTCCCATGAAGAATACTGATAAGATTCGGTATTTTTACACTTTAAAAATATCACACAGTTTGTTTCTGTATAGTTGGTTTTTTTATCTGAAATGGTGTGGGAGCTACAAAACCAGCAATGCTTTACTTTTCTCTCATTACTTCTTACCAAATTTCAAAAGTGGTTTGGGGTATTTTGTTTTCTTGGTTGTGGTCTGATCCTCTGCATTTACTACCATTTATGTCTCATGAGGATATATTTGAGTGAATCTAATTGTGCTTAATCAGGCTGAATAATTCTGAATAAAATACACTGAGGAACTTTTGAAAACAGCTCTCTGGGTTCACTGTAACTGTAGCTGATCAACCCAAACACCTAACTGATAAACCAGCATCAAGTCTTGGAAAAACGGTCAAGAATTTATTTATTTATGTGCACATTCTAGGTATTAAATAAATTGCAAACCTGCCTCCTTTCCCCAACATTCTCACAACTGGGAATATGCGGAAAAAGAAAGTGAAGAAGTATGGGGTTTGAAAATTGACTGAAAATAAAATTCCACCAGACCAAAAAGGCAGCAAGCAATCACTTTTAATGTCTCCTAGACATTTTCAGTCCTACATTAGCAGCCTTAACAAGTGCCACTATAGAAAGTGGAAGCTCTTGTTTCAGTTCAGAAGTTACATTCTAGCATTTTATTTTCATCATGTTTCTGCTTGCCATGAACATCTGCCATCTCAAGTAGCATTTATTAACAACACAGTCACTTGTTTAGCAGAAAGACAGGACCTTTAAAAAAAGCAAAAAAATTTTGTGAATTTGTAGAAGTCAAATAGGTTTATTAACCCACATTTTACTGATTTGGTGCCTTTATCCTTTACCTAAATGAGACTACAACACTGTAATGGCATTCTGCCACTTTCAGACTTGACTTCACATGCCTGAAGTGTAAAGAACCCTGGAATGCACCTGTTGACTGCAGAAGTTGCTCATCCAACCACAAACTTACATTAAAAAAATCTCCTTAGAATATAAACATGAACAATGGTTTTGTTGAATGTCCTACAAGTGAAAGGCACAGTTAAACTCTTTTTTGACACTACTCACAGTCTCTTCTTATCTATCACTCGCTTAACTCGGATGGCTCTTTGTTCAGAATACAGCTTGCACACTCCTGTTAAAGACAGCAGTAAACAAAATTTCAGGTTAAAAGAGCAAGATTCCTTTCTTGGAAAATGCAATCATCCATTTCTAATTATTCAGTAAATACTAAGTACTTTTTAGGTAATCTTCAATGAAGTCCAAGACAGCTGTTCTGTGCTCCTTCACCTGAGCAGACTGGACACCCTTGTGTGCTGAAATACAAAAGAAAAATATAAACCAATCTTTTAACTTTCTACTGAATTCCACAACAGTTTGCACTTTCAGTTGATATGCAAGTTACATAAAAGCTTAGTCAAATTTTATATATGTTACATATTAGTATTTCTTTTAAACATAGCTATATTTAAATATAGATTCTCTAAAACAGCCAGTCATTACAACAAACCAAAAACTGAAAATAACTAGTCTTATAGTATTTTTATATATGCCACAGGGTTCTAGTATGTCAAATAAACTCTAAACAGGAACAGGCAGCATCTAGCTAAGAACAGAAAAATAGATCTAGAGATTTAACTTGCTTAAATTATTCAACTTGTCCAAATTTTCTGGTGCATAGGCTATGTGGAAATTTTTGGGATTTACTGTGTCAAACATCCTTTTAATTCACATATATAGATACTTTTCATTTTATACTATGCAGTTCCCATGCATGACTGACATTCAGTGATTCTGAATAATGCTACAACTATATTTAGGTGGCATTTTAAAACTGATGAAAATCTTTTGTGTATCAATAAAATACAGAGATGCAGCAAGTCAACTTGAAAATGATAAGACAGAAATTCTCTATGACTTTCATAAGATAGTGTCCTACAGGTATGACCCCATATTCAAGTTGTTAAAAACACTTTTAATCTACCAGGACTCTGTTAAAGTTATTTAATTATCTCTAACTTGGAAGTATTATACATGTAATACCTTACAGGTAGACAAGCTAGTAGAAGACAAACATCAAATCTAGAGAGCTTTGCTTTAGGCCTCTATGCCACAGTGCTGAATTACTACTCAAGCAACAAATATTTAAGACTCTTTTTTACAGTTGTTAACTGGTGTATTTGAACACAAACACAATTCTATGCTGTATCTTCTCTTTCCACTATCATTAAAGAAAATGGAATTACAGTACTAATCAGCCAATGGGATTACACCAATGTAAACAAAAATGCAACAAGACCTCCCCCATCTTTTTCCTAAAGCATTTAAGACTCATGAATATTCACCAACATGCAGCATTACCTTAGCTTTCATCAAGAACTAGAAAAGACATGTAAGAGCTGCTTTAGTTTACCTTCTGTTCTGAGCTGATGAATGGCATCAGCACACGTTCTCATGAACACCTGGGCATCTTGATCTATCTGGTCACGCTCTGTATCCGTCATCCTCACATACTCAGACATGATATGGCTGAGAAAGAAGACAAACTTGTCACTTAAAAAATCCAAAACATAACATCCACAAGCACACACTTTAGACCTTCTTGCAACTCACCATCTGTGTAAGAACTTTTCTGCAACACTGATTTTTTGACAGAAAAAGTAATAAAAAGTACAGTAACTACTACTGATAAAAATGCCACTCCTATAAAGTTGGAAGGCTTTTTTTTAGAACACTTTTACTAGTAAAGTATGTAGAAAAAGCAGTATCTCCTATCATCTTGTACATAACCAAACACAGAGCAGATAAGGAGAAAATACAGCTAGAATACATATCATTGTTCTTGGTACTTATTCCAATAAAGTGTCCTAAAAACACAAAACCAATTAAGATAAAGGAATAGCTCAAATACTGAAAGAAGTACAAAAAAAGGAATTTTCACTACCCTAAATACAATGCTTCCTTTTTAAAGTAGCTGTACTATGAAACTGTAAATTCAAACTACAGGAAGAATACTGGAAAATAATGCACAATTATAATATCAATTTGACTGCAGTATTTATTAAAACCTGTTCCAATTGGTTATTTCAATTTTAGATTATACATTATCCATTTAGTATTTTCTAATGCTACTATTATATCTTTCTAATGCTAAATTAATAAAATTAATAACATTTGCTAAATTAATAAAAATTGAGTACTGTCCTTAAAATATTAATTCACTGTAGGTTACCAGCAGAAAAGCATACTGTATAAAGGTACTTAACAGTGTTTCCACAGCCATAAGTGGCAGGATAAAACTCTGCTACAGCAAAAAAAAATTCATCTTGGGTTTCATGGTGATGTAGTGATCACAGCCTATTATATCTGCTCTTTAAAAAAGGAAAGAAAATCTTAACTCATACCTGCATATGAAATTATTTTTTTTATATGTGAAAATTTCCTCATGTGTAATGCAACTATATTATTGCAGTAATACAAGTAAAAAGGGAAGATCTTCAATATTTAGCCTGATATCCTTAGAGATCTCTTACATATTTCACTGCAATAATGGCAAAGCTCCCCCGTGCCTACTGCAATCCCAGCACAGGAAAGCCCACAACCAGCTCACACAACCCTGTCTCATCAGCTCATCCCATACAAACCCAGCAGCTCCCTCCTGCATCATCAGTGTACTGCAAGCACAGGCCCAGATCTCCTCCACAAAGCTTTAACTATATTCTGAAGTCTTCAAGTATTATACCAAAATCTCCTCCTACCCATCCCACATTTTACATAAAAAATCAGCGTATTGTTCATCTGACTTGAAAATTAGTTTCTGCTTATTGGGCAAGCACAGATTAGCTATCAAACAGTAAGACAAACTAATTAGAAGTAATATTCTATATTTTATGTGTTTGTTTCTAAAACTGCCATGCATTTGACATCTAACTATCAGGGCTTTTTTCCCCCTCTGTTTAAAACTACTCTAAATGTTATAAAATTATTCTTTATTCCTTAGTAGTGTTTCCATTTATAATTCTAAGCATGTGTAAAGCCAGGAAATCCATTCCTACATCCATCTCCATACAGGCCAGGACAGAAATGGACCATTAAGACCATCTGGTATGGAATAATTCATAATATCATTCAGTGAGCTCAGTCTAGAGAGTTACTTGAGCATTTTAGGGCACACAGATTTAGGTGGGAAATAAGGATGGAGTAACAGCTGTATGACAGCTCCTTGATGAAAAAACTCCACTCTTCTATTTCAAATTACAATAATAAATTCTGTCTGGTCTGCTATTGAACAGGATATAAAGTTCCTGTGTTTATATGTCTAGCTTCTTGGACCCCTCCCAGCTTTGTAGTATTTGCAGAGCTCTACCCTTTCCATGCACTTTTTAACATAAGAGGGTAAAATAAAGATTACAAAACACAAACCAGAATTTTCTTTTAAATCAGAAGTAAATATGAAAAAACTTGCCTCAGGCACACTTAATTTTTTACTAACAGTTTAACTAGTGGTAGGGTAGTGATACACTGAGGATAATTGTGACAGCTTTTTAACTTTGGGAAGTTGTTAAGTTACTTTTCCAAGCTGCTGATAGGAAAACAGGGTAGATTAAATTCTTAAATAGTAGTTTCACAGCTTCAAAGCTAATAAAATGCAGCTTAATCCAGTAAACAAGAAACAGAATACTTTTCCTTTTGTAAATGCTTACAGCTTACATAGCGTCTGGTACCAGTGCTTTTGAACATGATCTGATCAAGCTACTCAGAGAGAAGGATACCTGAAACACAACCTCCTTGGGAAGGCAAGAATGGAGTCATACAATCACATCCCATTATGTCAGAACACATATGGCATCCACTAGCACTAACAGGACACTGAAGTCCCCACTGCATTCCCCAGTAAATCTGCACACGGAGATTATACTGAAAATCCATTTAATCACCATCCTCTACCGGAAGAGGAACCATTCATTAAAATAAAACGGGCCAAAGAAAACCAAAACCACATAAAAACATCAAACAAAAAACAACTGAACAGAAAAAAATCCAGCTGTTTCTTGTAGGTAAGAGATTCAAATGCATGCTCAGAAGTGCACTGGCAGTATCACAGCAGTGGACTGTTCCATCACTAAATCAAGAAGAGCCAAGCGAATAAGGTTTTATAGAAGCAAGCAAGATAGGCACAGAAAATGAACAGAGAAAGGAGGAAAAGAAGTTCCTCTGGATTTTCTTCCTTGCCAATCTGAGAAAACTTCATAAGAAACTTCGGCTAGAAGGCAACTCAGTTAATTTGTGATTTTTAAAAGTGGGTGAAGTGTACAATGAAGACAGTGACCATCAAGTAGGCAGATTTCTTCAGTCTAGAAAAATGAGTAGGTCAAATTGCAGAGAAAATGCAAACTTAAAAAGGAAAAGAATTCAGATGAAATATAGTTCTCATACAGAAATTACATTATAATTTGCAATTCTGTCCTTCATAAAAGGAAGAGTAGGCAATACAGTGAGAGATCAGCTGAGCTTTGTTGAGCTCAAATAGAAAGATCAGAACACAAAGTGCAAATTAGTTCTGATTTCTATTGACAAGCCTAAGGGAACACAGCATGCAGGGACACACTCAAGTGCATCAAGTGCAGGGTGAGGCACAATTGGGAAGGGATGTCAGTGATAACAAGAGACTGCTCTGCAAACATTACTCTAAGAAACACTTAAGAATGTGGTCTCGGCTTGTTACTCAACAGAGAAATAAAATTATACACAGGGTATGAATTAATTCTAGATGTTTATTGCTTTATTTTTTTTTTGCACTAACTTTCATCGTGAATGTCATTTGAAAGCTGCAGTTACTATTCATTGTAGCTTACTGCTTCTAAATCATCTGGGCCAAATTTAATATCTCTTGTCATTTTAAAAAGATCAGATCTTTGCTGATATGATAATTAGCAATTGCAAGTGTCAGATAATGTATTAGTGAAAAGGCTGCTGAGTGAACTGTATGAGAGAGAGAGCTATATGAACCAGGTCATAGCACAAGTGTACCTGAAGGTGCAGTGGCTCCTGGTGAAGTGCATATCCATCCTATCTTTGTGACAAAGCTGTGCTCTTGAAGGGAACTAACCAACTTCCAAAAAAGCCCAGGGCGTATGCACATTCATACAGTGTGCAGAGACAGGAGACCCAGCCCTGGAATAAAATGGGAAATGCATCAAATGACAAGATGTATCCTCACCGGCAAGAACTAGGAGAGAATAAGCAAATGACAGATTGGTAAAAAGACGAAGGTCAGCAACTATCTTTGAAAATAGGGTTAAAGGGACAAAAAAAGCGCAGAAGACTTGTAGACCACTCAATCTAGAAAAGTATAGGAATAAATAAGTAATATTTAAGCATTTAGGAAAAAGCAAAAAGATTACCAGTATCCAGGATGTATCAGTAGTGCGTCATAAGCAGTAAAATTTACTGCTGGGATGCAGTAACAGGTATTATGGATGGATGAAAAGCAATCACTGCTATATTTTGGTGTGGCTTTTGTAATCATCTCACATAACATTCTCACAAGTGAACAAATTAATTAGAAGAATAGATGAGTTAGAAGAAATAAGCATCATATGAATGTGAAACTGCAAAGTTGAACCTGGGGGTAGTTATACACCAAAACAGAAGGAAACACTGAGCTGTGTTTCACAGGATTTTGTCCTGAATCTGATGCGATTTAATACTTTCATTAATAACTCAGAGAATGGAATATATACTTACTAAACTTTCAGAGGCATAAAGTTAAGCAAATTAAAACTGTATCAAGAGAATAAGACTTCAGTTCCAAACAATATTGCCTGGAGAAATTATACGAAGAATTTGAATAAGGAATAGTCAGAAGCCCTTTGCTGCAGCAAGAGCAATTATCTGAACCCACAGAGATGGGGAACAACTGATTAGGGAACAGTTCTTCAGAAAGTCATCTGGGATCATATTGGATCATAAACCAAACACAACAACATACTGTTGCATAAAAAGTCATCATTACAATGGGACACATTATTCTAGTAACATGGATATGGAAACAGGAAAAAGCAGAATGAGAATATGAAATCTTCACTGAAATAAATATTTAAAAGCAAGCAAAACACTAGTATTTTCTTTTTGGATATTTCAGCCATGATCCTTTCAGCCTAACATTTTTGTGATTCTATTTTGCTGGCAAAGCACAAGGAAGCAAAGCCTGTGTTATGTTAGCTTTGGGAATTAGTAATTCTGCTGGTACATAAAATATCTTCTGCTTACTAATCCAACAAAGGTAACAAATCAAGAATCAAAATTTGATTTTCCTCCAACAGTGTATTACAAAAGAGAGAGAATCAATAAGCAGAAACAAATCAGTTGTAAAATAGTAGAGATTTGCCCAACTTACCACCTGCAGATATTGTCTAGCAAATCCATACGGAAATGCTAGCCATGTGTTAAGCACCCATAAGAGTCTTAGCTGCGAATACAGCAGTCATATTCTTCCCTTTGGGCATCTAGTATATTTTAAATTGTTTGATTTCTTAACTAAGTTTTACGCATTTTCATTTACTGCCTTTTGCCATCCAAATGCTGTCTGACATAAATCCAAGCTAAAAGGTCTTCAATTCAAATGACAAAACATTCCATGTTTTTTACATAGGTCTTTTAATTCCGTGTGGAAGCCTCAGCTAATAGAATTAGCAATACAGGGATACCTGAATTAGAATTTTCAGTTTTGTAAAATATTGCTGGGATATTCCAGAATGCTACTGTGAAAAATTACTATTTCTGAAATGTGATATATGAATTCAGTGTAATTAAAAAAGAAAAAAAATTTGAAAATAATTCCCTGGAGAACAGAAAAATATATTCTTCCAGGAAGCAAGTCTTTATAGATCACCTACATGTTTTATTACCTCAATACAACAAAGCAAGCCTTACTTCTTGTAAAAACATGACTAAGTGAAGAAGAGAATGCAGCATGGCATTGTACAGGAGTCAGTAAAACACTATTTTTAGAGTCCTTTGATGACTACTTCTTTTATTGTTAAATACAAGGAAATGCTCTCCACACAATGCTGTGTAAGCATTCAATAGTTTTCTATTAAGTGGCAAATGATGTAACTGATTTATTGCCTTGAGACAGAAAAATGCTTAAGACAGATAAATGCTAGGGCAGGAGGTGTAGTTACTGGGCACTAACATTATTTTTAAGACAGAAAGATAATTTGTTAATAATTTTTCCAGGCGCATTATTTGCAATTAACAACAAATGTTCAAACACTTAGCTGCACAGAAGGACTACAGAAGCATGTAATGAAGATACATCAAAAGCCACCCATGCAGCCTTTCTGGTAGAAAAAGTGACATTTCTATTCAGAAGTCATCTACGCTACACTGATCAACTACATAAGTATCTCTGCAGTTGCAAAACACAATTAATTAGATGTCTAATAATCCCAGATGGGAAGCTCTTCTCTCAAGTATTTTTCTTTTAAGTATGAGATGTTCTGTGAAAAAAATCTATAATTCTCTCAATTCCTTTCCAGTGTCTAATTAAAACAGTAGGAATAATGACTGGCCTTTCAACTGCCCAAACCTTGAAAGATCCCACAGAGAAACTGTGATGGCTGTGAAGGAATCCAAAGAGGATTATTTCAAATTTCCAGGTGTTAGGGCACTACAGCTAGTTTCTTGAAGAATATTTAACACCAACATATTAATTGTCTTGGTGGCTCAGTGATTAAAAACATGAAGGAGCTCGTGATGAAAAGCAAAGGCACAAGCTGTTCACAGGTGAGACATCAGACAAGTTACCAAAGACTCAGGATCTCTCCTAGTACAGTGTAAAAAGCAGTATAGGAAAGCATTATAGCAAATGGACTGAGAGGAACAATACAGAATGTATAGCAGTCAATATACTAAAAATGGAACCTCATCTGAAAGGAGTTTTTGCTCAGTAAGGAAAAATGAAAAAAAATCCCACATCTCATTAACAACTTCAGGACTCAAGAGTCCCTGTCTTCTCTTTTCCAGGAAGAGTGATCAACTTGTGTGCACTAATTTTGCTAAGGACAGAATGAATTTTCTTCCCAGCAGCAAGTACAGAGTTTGTGTTTTGGATTTGTGATGGAAACAGTGCTGATAACTCAGGGATGTTTTTGTTATTGCTGGGCTGCATTTACACAGAGCCACAGCCTTTCCTAATCTGCATCCCACCCCACCAGTGAGGAGGCTGTGGGTGCACAAGGAACTGGGAGTGGCCACATCTAGGACAGCTGACCCCAAATGACCACAGGGATATTCCAGATCATATGGCTTCATGCTCAGCTGAAGATGGGGAAAGAAAAGAGGAAGGGGTTGGGGAACGTTTGGAGTGATGGCATTTGTCTTCCCAAGTCACTGTGACATGTGATGGAGCCCTGCTTTCCTGGGGAGGGCTGAACACCTGCCTGCCCATAGTGAATAAATTCCTTGTTTTGCTTGGGTATGTGGCTTTTTCTTTCCCTATGAAACTCACTTAACCCATGAGTTTTCTCACTCTTACTCTTCTGATTCTCTCCCCCATCCCACTAGGGGGGCAGTGAGTGAGTGGCTTTGTAGGGCTGAGCCACCAGCTGGGGTTAAAACAATGATAAAAAATTCCTTATCACAGAAGGCAAAAACCCTACATGGAAGAGAGAAGAAATAAATCCTAATAAACAGGAGAATATAGAGGTGCAGTGGCCTGTAAACCAGCAAATTTAGATCACTACATCAGGAATTTAATGTGTTTTACCACTTAGATATTTTGTAGGTGATAGCCAAATCAAGAAAAAAGAAGGTAAGTAAGCAATTACTAAGTCACTTTAGGTATTTAAGTAGTAGTTATTTCATAAAATAGGTCAGGGCCTTGGTTTCAAATAACCACTCTTCCTACTGACTTTCTCATTGCTAAAAATTTTCCTCTAAAAATGAATTAAAGACATACCCTCTGTAGCAGGATATTTCATGTATGCCAAAAATAAAAACTCCATTATTGAAGAATTCATAGTCTTCAAAGGTAAGGTCAAAGAAACAATCAAGAACCTGGTTGTAACACATAATGAAGTTTTAAAAGGCACACAATAATACAACTTAGTAACTCAAAAGCTCAATTTCACCTACACATTGTGCTATAGTTGGGAAAACAAATAGCAGAACTGACAAAATACAGAGTAATAATTTTTTCATTAAATTGGACATTTCCTACATAAATTTCAGCACAGCCTTTCAGTATTAAATTGTTCAAAAACTGCCCCCACTACTTAAGTATTGAAGAGTTGTTAACTGCTGCCTTGAATGACTGAGGCATTTGCTAAGACTGCAAGACTGACAGCACGGATGCTATGATGCTCTTTGCATCCATGAAGTAGAGCAGCACAAGTAATCTAATATGGAATTTAACATTTTAATGTCAAATTAAACATCAGCAATTTAAGTCTGGCCATGAAGAACAAAATCAACTGCAATCACAGATGAGATCTGCAGGATTATTTCATGGTTTAATAAAGTAAATGACATTTCTTTCCTCTCCTGAATGAACACTTGGGTGGGTGGAGAGGAAGGTGGAAAGTATTGAGAATTACCATGATAACTTGCTGCAACTTTTTTACAAAAAGAACATAAAAAACTTCTGGAAATCAAAATAATCTGGGCACATTTTTACTCTAACCACTTCCATTTTATGCACACTACTGTTAATAAAATACAAATACTACCTAAAATTTAACTGCTACTGACTGCTCTTACTGGTATTATTTGCAGTTTCTCAACCTCTGTATGCACATGAAGTTTTCACACAGTACATGCAGTTTTGTCAGTATTAAATTGCTGGCTCCACCTAGTGTTGTTCATGTCCTATTCCTACAGGCATTGAAAAGCAGAGAGCCAGTCATAACACGGAGCTGAGCACTATTTCTACTTGCTCCTTGGAAACAGCATCCCTGATCCACCTCACACACAACTGTGCAAACCCCAAATAGCATTTTCACCAGCAGGGACTGAATATCTCTCATGGCCTCTCACTTATAAAAGAAGCCATCTTCCTTTTTTGTTTTGTTTTCAAGATAAGAAAAACACAGCTTTTAAACTCTTGTGGAAACAAAAAAGGGTGCCAGAAGTCTCCTGATAACCTACTCAGAATACACTTTGATTCCACTGATGAGGTAGTATTTCTGGTACTGTGACAGACCCTTTCAGGATAAGAGCTGTTTCTCAGATAAACTATTCCTCCAACATGGACTGAGCCTCAGGAATAGCAGCTGGCTCATCTATTTTTATTGTCTTTTCCTGGGGAAAGGGTATCTGTCTGGATAGCACTTCTATTTGGTACCTAGGAAGCTTTTAACCCAAAATGATTTTAGGCTGTATTTGATCTACCTTGATTGAAGAAATAGCTCAGCTTTAGTCAGGGTTGTGCCAGAACTGGACTGCAAACAGGGCTGATTCACCCAGTTTTCATGTAACAAAGTTTCACTACAAAGCAGATTTTACATTTCTCAAATGCTACAATGATTTGTACTCAGTTAACCAAAATACAGACTGCACTAACATTTGCATTTTATGATAACTTGACTTAGTATCTGCAGACCTGAAGATACTATGTTTTTCTTACAAACACCAACTTGTAAATTTGTACTTTAATCTTCTAAAAATCCTACTGCTAAAGTTACCAACAAGTAAACAGATACAGCAGTTTTGAATCACCTTCAAATTCTGATCCTCAGGTGCCCTGTTTTCTTGTGACAGCACTACTGCTCCATCTTATAGTGGTTCACAGTAAGCCAATCAATAACAATCTCTGTTTTGGTTTTAGTCATTATGCCTATAGGTTTTAGAGCTTTTCACTTTATAAGCATTAAGATAAATAAATAAATAAATAGTAGATAAACCCATTTAAACACAGTGTACACTTACCTGTAAGCATTAATGTAATCCTTTCTGTGTTGTAGAAGAAAATCTTTCAGCTTTCCAATATGAGAGATCTAAATGAATAAAATCATAATTAAATTTCAGATTATTTTATATTTGAAGTTCAGTATTCCCCACTCCAAACATGAATTCACAAATTTCTTATTATATAATTAAATAGAATAATAAAATTTCCTCTTTTACACTAGAATTTTCACATTTTCCAAGCAGTTAATATACAAAAATAATGCAAAAAAGATCTGTTATATGAATGTCCAGCTTGGAAAAGAGTATTAAAAATACATGTCTTCTTCCCAAAAAAAACATAAACTAAACAGTAAATATTAAATATTAAAAATATTAAACATGGTAACACAAAACTTTATCTAAATTGTCAATCCAGAATTTAATGACTCCAGAATTTAATGTACACTCTGGAAATTAATTCATTTTGGAAGACCACATAAGAAATTTTTCAACTCTTTACTGATCAGATACACATATTCAAGTCCAGCTATCAAAACTTGTATGGCAAGGTACTGACTCTCCCCTTCTACTTTTATCCTAATACAGCAACCAGTTTGTGCCCAAACTAAAGTAGTACCTCTACTATCTGATAATCATTAGTAAGCTTTGCCAGATCATACATCCCAATCTAATTTCCATTTCTGAATTTCCACCTCACTCTGGATAACTTTTGCTATAAATCACTTTATTTTCTTTTTTTAAGAAATCTTTACATTGATCTTCTGAAAAGCCAAAAAAAAAAATCTGAAACAACTTTTAAAAACTTCAGTCTAATGTAAAAGATTTGGTATGGCATAAGATGCTGCTTATTTTAGAGAATTTTAGAGAACTTCAGAAGTGTAGCTTAATTCACCAGAGAAGTGAGAAGACATGATGGGGAAGGGGAAAAGGGAAGAGGATTCTATACATTAGCAGTATATATTTTCTGAGGCAACTTTTAAAACAATATTCTCAAATATTAATTAATAATTCAGTGTAAACAAAGCATGCAAGGCATTTTTAAAAACAGAAGTTGTTTTTGTTTACAATAAATACAGTTTACTCCTTGTATCTGGGAAAAAGTATCAGAGACTGTTCTAGTCTTAAAATCCCATTTTCATGCAAATGATCTTTGCAATTAAACAAACAAAAAAAACCTCAGAGAAAGAACACAGAACAGTTTGGATAAATGGAAGATTAATTCCCCCATTTTTTTTTTTTCCAAAAGCAGCTCTTTGAAAAAAAGTGCAAAGAAAAAATGCACTTAGTAAGACCACAGTAATTTGTACAACTCAGGATAAGTGTTTCCTTGTGCAAATAAGTTAAGTCTCCATTTCCCTAGTATTATTATTTGCTCTGTTTCAGTTTTACTATAATTCATCATATTGGATAAGAATTTTCCCAGTTTTCATTTCTCAAGTTTTTTGTGTGATTATCACAAGAAATTTCATCCCATTGACAGCAAATGGAATTCTGTCAGTACTTTCAGGAGTTTTCCAAAGTGTGTTAGCACCAGCAAGAAGGCAAATACTGCAATTGCTACAAGACCAATGAGGCACAAAGAGTAAGCACAACCATTCTACAGATGTTCCTTCTCATCACCACTTGAACTTATTATTTGTACAGTAATCTCTTTCTCAGCTCAGACTTGGTATGTCATCAAATTTGGTGATAGATAAATCAAGCTTGACTATGAAAGCAAAACATCTAAAACAGTTGTACAGTGTTCCAGTGGAACAATAATACTTAATAGGCAGAAAGAAAGTACTACAGAGGACAAAACAAATGTAAAATAAGAAACATTCCAAAACATTTACATTAATGCACAAGAAAATACTAAACTAGAATATAGATAAGCAAAATTTTGTAAGCAATAAATCTTAATATTACTGCAATAGTTACAATTTAGGAGTGATTAACAAGCAGAAAGAATCAGAATGACAAGCAAGAGCACTGTCTTACAGTAATTAATTCATCTAGTCACAAAGAGCATTCTATTTAGGCTAAAATTGTCATCATGTGTTTGAATTGCACTGACCCCACTTTGCCTCTCCTTCATTTGTAAAGCTATTTTCATGAATTTAGAATGACACCATTATGCCCATATTCACATCAAGTTCTTAGTTCCCAAGATTTGCATCAGAAGTGAGACTTGTTTTAGTTTCTCTCAAACTCTAATAGCATCTTCTGCAATCCTGCACTGCAGATATTTCTTTCACCTTTTGTTACCATGTACCACTGGCATAGCTTTGAATTAAATTTGTCATAATCATACTAACAAAATAAACTTTTTTTATTAAAAAGAAATATTAAAGGGAGGGAATGCTAATTTTATTTTACAAAATTGATTGGTTTTCTGTATGATGCTCAAACTTTTGCAGACAGAAAACATCCCTCATTATACAAACATAAGTCTTGAAGATATCTCCAGGGTCATCAACTTGCAATTATTTTGGTGCTATCAGAGGCCCACCATACACTCTTTACAAAGTTATCAAGCTTCAGCCTAAAGGGAATAAAGCTTCTCCCTATTACAACTGAGTGGCTTTATTAGAATCCCCTTGCTCTTATTACTGTCAAATTATTGCCTAATTTCTAGGTTCACTGATTACCAACTTCTATATATCTCTTCTTGCTTCAGGATGGTCCTTTCCCTTAAAAGTTCCGTTTCCCTGCGCATGTGTTTGACTTTACTGTCAGTAATTAATTCGATCTATCTGTATCTCTAACTTTTGTAGCCCAGACAAATAATCCCAAGCTTTTATTTCCTTCTCACAAAACAGTTCTGAAGCTGCAGAACACACAGCTTTCCTCTGCCATTTCCAATGCAAATGACTAGAAAGCCATTCCCTGGAGTCAGTTACTTTGTAATTATTTCTGCTGCAAACACCTTTTTTTCTACCATTTTTTCTAGATCCCAGTATGTATGTTCCTTTTACCCCACTGGTCTATGGCTTTTTCCTTATTAATTTAGTCTAGAGTCCACTACTAAACCAGTCCACGTTTATATTCCAAATATATGACAAATCCACACTTTTTGCTAATTTTATTTTTATTAAAACAGCTGAAAAATATTTTCATTTTAGGAGGGTTTTAATACCATTAGCAATTCATTGTGAACTTGGCCAAACCTACCTTTATATCTGTAAAAAAAGTCTTCTCTTCTTGCAACAGTTTTCTTGGCTAGTCTGCCTTTCTCACCCTGATTTTCACTGCCTCTGGGATAAACTTTTTTATCTTCTCTTAATTAATCTCTCAAGTACTAGAATTCTTTTAAATTCTAGAAGAATTTTAAATCCCACTTGCATTTCAGCACACCCATTTTCCACTTCATTTACCCATCCATCATAACTGCAACTTTCAATTTGCTCTACATGCCTGTTTTCAAAACATTTTTACCACCAGTTGACACAGGTGTCAAAAGGATAGATGAGAGCAATTTGAAGAGGCACAAACACATCTGAGTATGGGCCTCTCCTCATGGTTCTCATTCGTTGCATCTGGAAATTGACTTCCTTTTTCTCCCAAAGTCTGGAGCAGAGAAATAAGCCTTTCCTTCAACCCTGAAATAAAGAAATTATTTCCTTCCTTCTCCCCCACCCCCATAGACATAGGAGGGCTCAGAGAAAAGCCCTTCATAGTTGCAGCACTCTTGCACTACATAACAACTAAACTTAAAGGGAAGAACACTGCTGAATTTCCTGGTAACTGACATTTCTAAGGGAATCGGGGAATAAAATACCTTTCCTCACAATACTGTGAGCACCAGTTACATCATTACAGCAACAGCACCTTCTTGAGCTTCTGTGCACTACCAGAATACGTTGGGTTATATTTCTTCTAACAATGAAGGCTACTTAGGAAACTCCAGGCTCTCCCTCTCCTCTTCCCATTCCCACTCACACTCCCTTGAGGGTCAATATCACACCCCAAAACACTGAAATTACTTTTGTTTCAAAATTAATCTTCTTGAAAGAATTAGCTACTTTCATTTCAGCTCCCCAAATACCTGTATCAGCACAAGGCAGGGCAGGAGCTGAATAGCACCAATAGGAATCTTCCTACAAGATGCATCTGCCATGAATGGATAAGGTATATTTAATTACAACCTAAAAAATTCAACATGGTAAGCTCCTAAGCTCAGGTACTGAATCTGGAAACTCCAGGTGTTATTTAAAAACTCCAGACTGTAGTTCTAATCATGAAACCCCAAGTGATTCTCTACAGTGAAGAAGAAGCAGTTTGACACTATGTGGCAAACAAAAGCATCAACATCATGCAACTGAAAAACACTATATATTCACATTAAAGCCTGTAACATGACTTTGTAAAAGTTACTTTAGGTTCCAGTTTGATCCTCACTGTAAACTGTCTCTTTAACACATATATCTGTGTTTTGTTGCCAATACAGATTTTTCAAGCAACTCTTATTAAAACATAATAGCAATTATTGCATCTAATGCAGGTCTGACACAAAAGGAAGCTGTGAATGGCTGCCATCTGCTACCACAGGTGGCATGCATAGCTCTATTTATACTTGGGGCCTGCACTAGAAATTGTAGATGTTCCTCTGTCCGGAGAATTTTCTAATGATTTCAGAGCAGGCTAAGTTATTTAAAAAGATAAGACACAGGAAAGCATTGCCTCCAAAGCAGCATCTCGATGAGACTTTAGAATGAAGACGCTGACTAGGCTTCCCTCAGTCTCTTAGCAATACATACAGCATTTCTTTCCACTCCCAACAAAGAATTGATCACTCATGAAACAGTAGGGTCCAATTTGCATGCGTTTAACCCACTGCAAGAAGCAGGAGCATTGTTTACGATTAAAATGATTGGAGTAGGTTCCCGTGACATATTGTACAGAGAATTCAACCATGCTGAATAGTCATTTTCATTGAACAAATATAGCGTTTTATCAAATTTACTCTTCCATCAGGACAATGTGCAACTATTTCCTACCATATAAAATTGACTGTTACACTTCGCGCTGTATTGCCACTCTGAATTTTTTAAAATGTGTACTTCATTAAAAGAAACTTTAAAAATTACTTAAAACCATAACCTAA